GTAGGTTACAACTCTTTTAGTGGTGTCGATTTTAGTGGAACGTTTTTCGTGAATACAGAAGTAGATGACGATTACGCGGGGTTTATATTCAGTTATCAGGATAGTTCCAGTTTTTATGTTGTCATGTGGAAGAAATCCACCCAGACTTATTGGCATCCGACTCCATTCCGCGCTGTAGCAGAACCAGGTATACAGCTTAAATTGGTAAAATCTGACACAGGACCAGGGGAAGTTTTACGGAATTCTCTCTGGCACACTGGTGACACATCTAGACAGGTACGTTCTAATTATTAAAGATACATTATGGGAGATTAGATAAAGAGTTGACAGTTCTCACTATAAAAGATAATTAATAGATAATGTAACTGGAATATTCTGAACTTTTCAGTCAAATTACTTCAGTCTAAGCCGAGAAATACTCATTTTAAAAACCCTGGAGCCTCGATTGTCACTGTTGCCGTTGTGACGAAAATAAAAATAGTCTCGATTATCTATTTTTACGTTTAATCAGCAATGGCTGTTGAACGGTATATCGGATTCAATGTCTACACGGAAACTCAGTTTTTCGTCCCATCCAAACGACTATATGTCGCCTTTGCGAGACCCGTGGCCCTGCACCACTGAAAAGGAACGACTGGCCGGAAAATCCCAATGAATTTTCTGGGCCAACACAAGGATCGTATACGGGACTTCCAGGTTAGCGAGCCAACGTCAATTTTTTTTAATATTATATCTATTCATACAATATACAAAATACATAATTCAATTTTCATTCTACAAGAATAATCTCAAGGTTATTTACAGTTTAAAAGTTGTATATAAAAGTATATACACACATACACCCATTCACCCACCCACCCATACACATACACCCACCCACCCATACACACCACACACACCCATACACACCACCCACCCACACCCATACACACCACACAAACCCATACACATCACCCACCCACACACCACACACACCCATACACACCACCCACACACCACACACACCCATACACATCTACATGCATCTTAAGTAAACGTCTTACTCACTGAGGCACCGTGGCTCCTCACACTCAAAGGGCACGTGTGATTTATGGGCTACAATGTTATTTTTAAAACTGACAAATAATCCAGTTTATATTTATACAACTAGGTCAAATTATTATGGAAAGACCCTAGAAATGTTGGCTGGAAAGATAAAACGGCCTATAGATGGGAGCTGATACACAGACCTTCTATAGGATTAATAAGGTAAGGAGGAAATATAAAACAGGCTATAGATGGGAACTAATTAGGTACGGGTGGGTGAAACAGACGATAGATGGGAACTAATTAGGTAAAGGGAAAAGCCTGTAGATGGGAACTAATTGGGTAAAGGGGAAGATGAAACCGGCTATAGATGGGAACTAATTGGGTAAAGGGGAAGATAAAACAGACTCTATATGGGAACTAATTCTGTGTCCTATGCGTAAAGAGTATCGTGTACTAGGCAGACACAACATTTCCTACAACCTGTTACATAATTTTAATCGTATATTTTTATTTCACAGAGTATTATTTTTTGAAGAGACTGAGTTGGTCGCGGATTCTGGTAATGTCTATGATACGACGTTAAAGGGGGGACGACTCGGGGTCTTCTGTTTTTCACAAGAGATGGTTATCTGGTCTGATCTCGTCTACAGATGTAATGGTAAGATTTTCTATTCTGTTATTACAGGTGAGTCGCTGTGACTCAGTGAGTAAGGCGGTGGCTTACTAACCAGGGGGTCAGAGGTTCGATCCCGGTGTTGGCTGAGCGGGGTCACCGGGATTTTCCAACGTGGGTTCCAGTGTCCCCTGTGTTAAAATCTAGTTGTTCGGTTGAGACGAAAACCCGAGGTCCCGTGTACCCATTGGCGTGCGCGTGAAAAGACCCTTGACAGCTCGAAATTCCTAGTTGTCACTGCGAATAATTTATGGGTTTTTTTTAGCTGTCTAGTCGTTCGGATGGTACGAAAAACCGAGGTCCCGTGGACACATTTACGTGCACGTAAAAGATCCCCTGGCAGTTGGAATTCGATATAAGAGTAGGTTAAAGTGCAGCTGCCCGGGGAAAATTTCCCTCATAGCACACTGTATGGCGTATGCCCGTCTTAATTAGACCAGTCGGAGCAGAACAGTTGGACGTTTAACTCCATTTCATTTCATGTCTTTTTTTTGTATTTGTAGAATTTATACCCCGGGGATTATTGAGTGAAGATGCGGATGCACCGAATGGTGAAATAGATTATGGAGATTATTACGACGAACCGGCACCTGCGTAATAAAATAATATATAAAATCTTAAAGATGCATTCTGTAAAAAATAGGCCAAAAATAGATAATGAAAAATAAATATATTGAAATTTTCAGCCAAATTACTCTATTCTATGCGAAATTATGTGTGTTTTGACAAAATGTAGCCTAGACTACTTATAATCGTAGCAATGGTACTTGGCTTGTTTCCATTATCTATTTTATCCTTAAACTTTTAAATGGGTTCGGTTTTCGAATCTACTTAAAATCGGTGTCATCCGATAGTCTAGAGAGTTGATTATGGGGTTCGCATGTAAATAAATCTCCAAATAATAGTTTATATAACATCTGAAGCCAAAATAAAGGCCTGTAATAAAGGCCTATAGTAAAGGCCTGTAATAGCCATATTTAGCCTCTTACATGATGCATCTTTAGAGATTCAACTAGTGGAATTATTATTAAGTCTTACACCAGATTTACCGTTGTTCAAATTGATCAAATTAACGGGGCATTGTTTAAAAGTCAGAAAAGGGTTGATTTGTAAAGACGAGAATGAAAAAGAATTGAAATGTCATAAAACTGTGTTCTAGTTGATATAAATATAATTTACTAAATCAACAAGAACACATGTTTTTAACATCTGATACAAACACAGATTCTATTCCGTTTCATTTTATATAGTTCAAATTTCATTTTATTTGTCTTCACCACAGTGGAATCTGGAAGATTCAGTTTTATGTAGGTAATTGATAGCCAATAGAATGGTTTGTTTTTCGAGATTTCCGTGAGGTGTGCGTGGCATTTCGGAGACATATATAGAGTAGTCGAAAACAAAACAAAGAACAAATTAAATAGTCCAGGTCATTAGGTCAAAGTTCACCTATGTGATCCCTAAGGTGAACGCCCTCGTTAAAGATACGTTATGGGAGATTAGATAAAGAGTTGGCAGTTCTCATTATAATAGTTAAAAACAAGATAATGTAAAGGGAATTCGCTGAAAATTTCAGTCAAATTGATCCACTCTGAACCGAGAATTTAGCGATTAAATTTTAGGCCTAGCCTCAATCATCATTACTAAAGTCGGTACGATAAAAAAAACATAGTCTCGATTATCCAATTTTCTTTTCAAATTTAATCATGAAAGAGCATTGAGCAGCAGATCCGATTCAAATCCATTAAATATCGCATTCTAGCGATGACATTGAGAGTTGATTATGGTCTGGATAAGTTAATTAATGTCTAATTAATAATTTAGATTACATTTCAGGCCTAAAGAAAGACCTACAATAGAGAGATTTAACTCTTGCATAATGTATGTTTAACTATCAGTCTTTTAAAAAAAACGAAAGGAAAATAAAATCTGTATTTAAATCAGATCGTGTTTGTAAATACTATATTTTGTGAACACAGGGGCTTGTAGAATTGTTATCTTAACACACAAGCCCCTGTGAATAAATCCATATTTTATAGCCATATATATATTTAGATTTGTTTCCTTATATTGTATAATAATATTATATTATATTTTTTTAGTACGAATCATGAATATCCTAATTTTAGTTTTAGTTGCCAATATATTAATATCAAACTTTTATGTATTATAAATACATTAATATATAACCGTTATAAGACATATAGAAATAGATATCACTTAAATTAAAACACTTATATAGATATACTACTTTTGAATTTTATTAACATGCCACGTTTCAATACACATACAGGTATCGTTATCAAGCAAATATACATATTGAAACGTATTATGTTATTAAAATTCAGAAGTAGTACATCCATATAAGTGTTTTAATTTTACATAAATGTATATTCTCAATTAAAACCCCGGATTCTCATTCACATCGGATAATATATCTGATATTGCACGGCGTAATTCACGCTGTAATAAACTTAATTTGATTATTAAATATTCAATTACAAAATCAAAATGTCAAAGGGAGATAATCCCTGGCTTGGATTCAGCCCACTGAACAATTGTGCCCAACAGTTATAGGTGGTGGTGGTGGTGCCGGTTTTATATCATCGGCAGTGGACACCGACTGTTGCGATATTTTCAAGTCATCATATCTTGGTGAATACTGAAGGTGAAGGGAATTAATCTGTTATTGAACAGAAATTCCTTTTTTTAGATTCAGTTGTCACAATGAAAGGAATTCTATTAGCTATTTTACAAGATTTTAATCACAAATTAAGTCAGAGAATATCAATTAAATATCAACTAAATGTAGATCCCATTAAATTTTATAAAATATTCATAAATAAAAGAAGATACCATAGTTATAGTTATTCACCGCCCGCCCCCCCCCCCTCCGATAAGCTCGGGTTACTCATCTTAATACCAGGCCTATTTTACCGCCTCCATAAACTTAGTTTATTGGCCACCATACCAGGCCTATTTCCCCCTTCACATGCACAGCTATTTGCCTGTACGCCACTATACCAGGCCTATTTTCCCCCTTCACAAGTTCTGTTATTTGACAGCACACCAGGCCTATTTTCCCCCTCCACACCTGGTTTATTTCCCATATATCCACAACCTTGGTCCTGTGTATACATTGGCAGGCATGTAAAAGATCCCTTGGCAGTTGGAAAGCGATATAAGATTAGGCCATAGTGCTGTTGCCCGGGCAAAATTTCCCTCATAGCACACTGTACGGCTTATGCCCGTCTTCATTAGCCCAGTCAGTGCAGAACACCTATTAAAATACAATAACACTGTTTGGACAATATTTTATTTTAAATTATTTAATACTTTCAACACATTGTTTATAAATTCTACTTCCACACCTTTATCATATCTCTACAAACAAAAAAAAAAATGAAAATAATAATTAACTTATGCTTGCTATTTATTTCAAAAATGAATGCTAAAAAATTGGTTATAGAGAGAGAGAGAGAGGGGGTGAGAAATGGGGCTTAACATCTACTTGTCATTTTGGGACTAACATTTTTTATGGGGTTTAACGTCCACTCGACACAAACTAGGTCATTTCGGGACTAACATATGGTTTAATTTTATTTCAATAATTCGCTTCCGCGTAGGGATCTTTAGCAGTGGGATGAAACCAGAGGACCCGGAGAAAACCCATGAGATTGGGCAGGCGATCCCTACTCCCTGTTACGTACAAGTGGGGAATCGAAGGAAACAACGGCAGTTGACTCAATGACAGACCATAAGATACAGCACGCACCTGTTCAGCCCCCCCCCCCCCGAACTTGAAGCCCTAGAACTTGACCCCCTAGATCTTTAGAACCTAGAACTTGACCCCCTAGATCTGGAGATCCGAGATCTTGAGGCCCTAGGCTTCCTCCTGCCAAGCCTAAAGGTAGATCAGGCACCAATAACAAAAGGTAAGAAAACTTATATTTACTTGTTGTGTAAACTTTTTCAGGATTTCTTTTGATTCTCCATCATCTGTTTCTATTGTTTGGTTGATATTCTGTAACTCAATTTTTAATTTATCTTTGAGTTGATTTAATCTCTGATATTCTACAGTAGACTTTACTACACCCTACAATAACAAAGATAATAGACTTTACTACACCCCACAATAACAAAGATAATAGTAGACTTTACTACATCCTACAATTACAAAGATAACAGTAGACTTTACTACATCCTACAATAACAAAGATAATACACCCTACAATAACAAAGATAATACACCCTACAATAACAAAGAAAATAGACTTTACTACATCCTACAATAACAAAGATAATAGACTTTACTACACCCTACAATAACAAAGGTAACAGTAGACTTGATTAGATGTTTATTACTTGCAATGTCAGTGTAGTATTTCTCTTGTCCACAGGTTTGTCTCTCCGCTTATGTTTGTGTGTAGTGCAGTTCCCCTGTGCTTACTAGAGAGAGAGAGAGAGTAATGGGGTTTAATGTCCACTCGACACAAACTAGGTCATTTCGGGAATTAGCTTGCATGTAGGGGTCTTTAGCAGTGTTAGGAAACCGCAGGACCCAGAGAAAACCCATGAGGTTACACAGATGCCCCCACTCCTTGTCACATACAAGCGGGGAATCAAAACCAAACCACGCCCTCTGACAGACCTTATGATACAGCACGCACATGCTAACCATTCGGCCATCCAATCCCCCACACCCACCCCCTGTGCTTACTAATATATTATGTACGAACTAAGTTATAGAAGGTGCCCTACAAGGGAAATTTTGCCCAGACAGCAGTTCTATGCCAATGTGAACATGCGACCTCAGATTTTTGTACCATCTGAACGACCACTCTGGAAAATCATGTAGAACTTTCTCAGCCAACCCCGGGAGTATCTTAATAACTGACTCACTGCGGCTTCCAAACCAACAAAAGAGATAAAATAAGAGATATACCTACCTGTAGGTTAAGATATATATGTATATTATTGTTTATGTAACTATGGCAACAGGTATCAGGTAAGTCACTTTCATCACTGATTATATGAAATGTTCCGGCACGAGATAATGTTTTTAATATCGAACTATATTTATTCCACACATCCATTTCGCTGTCTTTAATTCTTAAATATGCTGAAAAAGAAGAAATGAAATGAAATGAAATGGGGTTTAACTCCTACTGTTCGGCTCCTTACCTTGGCTAATGAAGACAGGCATACGCCATACAGTGTGCTCTGAGGGAAATGTCACCTGGACATCAGCACAACACCTAATTTTATTTCGAATTCTAAGATATTTAAATACCAATAATAAGGATATCTCTAGCTATGGGTGACAGATTTGGTATCATAGAACACCTGCTACCACTTATCAGTAGTTTAGCGAGTATGGTGCACTGACCAAGAAGTTACCCTGGGATATTTCAGCATGGTTTACCGTGTTAGTGGCAGAGATTGGAGGGACTATTAGTGACAAACCTAGTATCATAGAACACTTGATACCACCTATAAGCAGTTTAGTAATATGGTGCACTGACCTGGAGGGTCCCAGGTTTCATTCTGCTGTTGGCTGAGAAAGTTCCTGGTTAGCCGTTGTCGGTGGTGTAGGATGGGACAAAAAAAAAGTGAGGATTTGTACCATCTGATTCAAATACAGGGGCCTGTTTCACGAAATTTTAACTAAGATAAAATCCAAATTTTAGTAATTTGATTGGATAATATTAGATTGATTTTAGTGCTTAGCCAATCAAAATTGAAGTATCTACTAAAATTGGATTTTATCTTTAGTTAAGAGTTCCAGAAACAGGGCCCAGATCTATATCTTGTTTCGTTTTTATACTTTCTGTGGCCTACACTACATGAAGATCTGACTGGTTGTAGTAGAAGGTCGTGTCAGGGGTTGTACGAGCAGCTTTTGACCCTATGATGTTAGACATTGATTAATCAACCAGCGTTGATGTTTTTAGTGGTTTACCCACAGTTCCGTGCATCGCATGCCAAGAACTCGTCATAACAGACAGTTTCATTAGCTAATAATCCCTCACATTAACCAGAACACGGGTTATATAACAACTCTTCCAGACCCTAGTGTTGTAAAGACAAGTAAAACGAAATTTTGAACTATAAAAAATAAAACGAAACGAAATAGGATCTGTGTTTCAATCAGATTTGAACTTGTAGTAAAATAGAACAATATCTAAAACAGACAACAATAAAAATGATATAAACAAAATGTTCTTACTGTCAGCTTTAGTTTTTGTTAAATTAAAAAATCTTCTCAGCGATAAAACTTTATTTATAACAACCTGTACATTTTTCATTTCATCTTCAATATCTTCATCTCTCCATTTATACTGAAATTATTGATCAATTACTTAAAAAAAAAACAACTTATATTCAAGACGTGTGTTCACCCAGCTGGTCACATGAATAATTCTCTCAAAAATGTTATGAAATGAAATGAAATGGGGTCTACTGTTCTGCTCCAACTGGGCTAATGAGAGAAATTTTGCCCGGGCAGCAGTACTATGGCCTACTCTTGTGTCAAATTCCAACCGCCAATAAACCATTTGAAATTTGAGTAAAAACGGAAACGATTGAATGTAAATCCGTTTTTATACATTCATAATATGTACATTATTATATGCATTGCGACCCATTTGTGTTCATTTCTTGGTCCCAAATTTTAGTGATTTAGCTCCTTTAATTTTTTTAAACTCCAATTCATATCATTTTGTTCGTTACCTGATGTGGTTGTGGATACGGAGCTATACAGACACTGACGGATTTATCTCCCTTCTCTGGTAATCTTTGATAAAGCTCTTCTGTTATAAAAGGCATAAAAGGACTCAAAGCTCGTAGAAATGTTTCCACGCATGTAAATAAAATTTGTCGTTTCAACAACCTGTCATCTTCACTGCCTTCAATAAATACTGATTTCACATTTTCCTTAAAATAAATAAATTAATATTTATAACTAGGCACAGAGAGTGAGAAATGGAGTTTAACATCCACTGGACGCAGACATGGTCATTTTGGGACTAACACATGGTTCAAGGAGTAGGGTCACCTGTACAACCGCGTGGGTTTTCTCTAGGACTCTTTCTCGCTCCTTATTTTAAAAATCGTGAGCTTTTTCTTGGCTTATGCTGTAATTTAAACAGGGGGACCTCGTGTCGAAGAGTCTAGAACCTCTCAACTACTATGAGTCCACCACATCCCCACCCAACCCCCAGGGCATAAACATACATTTTTACAAAATTTATTACATACTGATGTCTCGATCCTAGTAAAATAAAACAATTGAAATGTAATAAACTTACCAAATAAACATCACAGAATTCAGATTGCCAGAATGTATGTAAACATCGGGTAGCATGGTGTAAATCATACGACCTAAAATGGTCGTCACATGACTGTATCATGTGACTCAATCGACTTAATATCCAAAAATCTACAGCATTGTATGATCTGTTGTCAAAATTCTGTTTAAAAAAATAAAAACGGTAAATTGTAGATTTTAGAAGATAAAAACTGTGTCAATGCTTCTTACAAATGTTTATGTATCATTTGGGGTCGGGAGGTTGGATGGTCTAACACATGCATTTTAGATCATAGGGTCTGTCATTGAGTCAAGTGGCTTGGTTTCGACCCCATACTTGTACTTGACATGGTGAAGTGTCGCCTGCTCAACTTTGTGGGTTTTCTTCGGGTCCCACAGGTCTCTTCCCATTGTCCAGAAAAGTTTTGAGTTTGACGTTAAACTGACTCTATTTGCCTCCCTCTCTTGACCACCCGCTCTCAGCTTCCCCCCTCTCTCACTGTCCCTCCCTCCCCTGACCGCCATCCCTTGCTTGCTCACCCTCTCACTGTCTCTCCCTCTCTTGACCACCCGCTCTCAGCTTCCCCAACCCTCTTACTGTCTCTCCCTCTCCTAACAGCCGTCCCTTGATTGCTCTCTCTCTCACTGTCTCTCCCTCTTCTGACCGCCATACCTAACCCTAACCCTAACCCTCTCTGTCCCTCCCTCTCCTGACCACCATCCCTTGGTTGCCCTCTCTCTCACTCACTTGTCCCTCCCTATCCTGACTGCCATCTTTTGGTTGCCCTTCTCTCTCTCTCACTGTCTCTCCCTCTCTTGACCGCCATCTTTTGGTTGCCCTTCTCTCACAGTCAGTTCCTCACTCTCTTGGTTGCCCACTCTCGGTAACCCTCTCTCACCTGCCCTCTCACCCACGGCCTCTCCCTCCCTCTCTCACCTGCCCTCTCTCTCTCACGGTCTCTCCCTCCCTCTCTCACCTGCCCTCTCTCTCACGGTCTCTCCCTCCCTCTCTCAATTGCCCTCTCTCGTTTTCCCTCTTTCACTGTCTCTCTCTCTCTCTCACCATCTCTCTCTCTCCCTCTCTTAACTGCCCTTAATTGGTAGCACCCTTTCTCACTGTCCCTCCCTCCCTCCCTACCTTATAATAGAGAATGTCAATAATTATTTATGAATAAAATATTACATGCTACAAGTTAAACTATTAAATCGTTAAATAAATACCTGTAGAATATTACATGTCACAAGTTAAACTATTTCGTTAAATAAATACCTGTAATTTCTCGGGTTTAAAATCATTTCCCAATTTATCTGCAACGAATCGGAATCCCTGCCAGATTTTATTACAGAAATGACGATAACTTTTAACATGAGCGACATCCAGACTTATCTCTCCAGCTAGAAATAAATAAATTTTAAATATGGGTCAAATAATTGAGAAACAAAGAGAGAGTAAAATGGGGTTTAACGTCTACTCGACACAAACTAGGTCATTTAGGGACTAATATATGGTTCAATTTTATTTCAATAATTCGCTAGCATACAGGGGTCTTTAGCAGTAGGAGGAAACCGGGGGACCTGGAGAAAACCCATGAGGTTGGACAGGCGACCCTACTCCTTGTCATGTACAAATGGGGAATCGAAACCACGCCAGTTGACTCAATGACAGACATAATGATACAACGTGCATGTGCTAACCATTCGGCCATCCAACCAGACCAACCCCCCCAAATGACACAACAAAAATCGGATAAGAAATGAAATCAAATGAAATGGAGTTTAACAGACTACTTTTATACACCAACTGGGCTAATGAAGAGTGCAATGAGGGGAATTTTGTACAGACAGCAGCGTTTCTGCCAACAGTCAAGGGTTCTTTTACGTGCACGCTGGTGTGTACAAGGAATATCAATCTTTTACCCGACATTCAATTTCGCTATCAGTCAGGTAAGACTGATAAACGACTGAAATAGCCTAATACAGACACATTCACACCTTCTATACTACCCCCTACCTATGTTAAACATGTTTTACCTTTAAAATCATAAGAACAGAGAGTAAATCTCAAGGCATCAGCCCCACATTCAGGTAAACCTTGTGGAAATTCTCTTCTCTGTGATTCCAACGCCTTTTTTATTTCTTTTTCATCTAAATTACTTTGTTTAAGTTGTGTCTGCATTTCCTATTCATTTAATACAAACAATTTAACACAATCAATTATTTAAAGATACATTATAGGAGATCCGATAACGAGTTGGCAGTTCTCATTATAATAGTTAAAAACTAGATAATGTAAAGGCAATTTGCTGAAAATTTCATTCAAATTGATCCACTATGAACCGAGAACTAAGTGGTTGAAATTTCCGGCTAGCCTTGATCATCATTACTAAAGTCAGTACAATAAACAGCATAGTCTCGATTATTCATTTAATCGTTAAATCGTGAAGGAAAGTTATGCAGTAAATAATCCACTAATGATCGAAGGCTAGCGATGCCTTCTAGAGTTGATATTGGTCTGGATAGGTTAATTAATGTCTACTTAATAATTTAGATAAAATTTCAGGCCTAAAGAAAGACCTGCAATAGACAGATTTAGCTCTTGCATAATGTATGTTTAATACAAAAAATATGAATAAAATCAATTTAACAAAGCCACTATTTCCATAAAGTTTTCATAATTATTTAATTCAATGTATTACGAAAATTGACAAAAGAAAATTGGGATAAAATTATTTTCCTAAGCGCGAAAGTTTAAAGAATTGGGTTTAAAGAGAGAGAGAGAAATGGGGTTTAACATCCACTCAACACAAACTAGGTAATTTTGGGACTAAAATATTGTTCAATTTTATTTCAATCATTTGCTTGCACGTACGGGTCTTTAGCAGTTGACTAAAGGACAGACATTATGATATAGCAACACGCGCTAACCACTCGGTCATCCAACCCCCTGTAATGAGGTTTAACACCTGGTCAACACAATATAATGATATATTTACCTGTAGTGGTAAGCCTTGAATAACATCTATAGGGTCGACCACGTTACCTAGTGATTTACTCATTTTACGTCCCACAGAATCTTTCAACAGACCATGTAATAAAATCTAAAATAACAAGCCAACAGACCATGTAGTAATATCTAAAATAACAAGACAACAGACCATGTAATAAAATCTAAAATAACAAGGCAACAGACCATGTAATACAACCTAAAATAACAAGCCAACAGACCATGTAATAAATCCTGAAATAATAATAATTCATTCTTCTGATAAGGCGCATTACAATATACAATGTTATGGGTAGAAGTTAATTATTTCAACATTGCTAAACATTTAAAAAGTGATTGTAATACTCTTTAAACAAAAACGTTTTTAACGATGATTTAATAGACTCGTAGTTTTCAATATTTCTAAATGTAGCAGGTAATTCATTCCAAGCCTTCGATGCACTGTACATAAATGCTCTATTCCCATATGTATGTTGGACTTCATAATTGGCAAGTTATAGCAGTAAAATTTGTGTTGCTTCCTATTTTAAACAAAAAAGTACTTGAATGCTCTTTTCAATATCAAAAGATTTTGGTTCTATATTTTTAAGTTATGAAATATTAAACAAAACATGGCTAACGATACTCAGGAGGATGACTATATTGGTTTGGCCTAATCCAATAGTATTTGAGATCAAATAAAAATGGCGGTTCAGGCAAGTTGCCAGGCAAAATATTGGCTTCATGTTTGTTTATTGTTTCATTGTTCAAAATAAAGTCGACATTTTGAATAAAATGAAATTAAATGGTGTTTAACCTTCTACTGTTCTGTCACTAGCCTGGAGGTCGCGTGTTCGCTCCTGTGTTGGCCTAGAAAGTTCATTTGGATTTTCCAGCGTGTTTTCCCCTTGGCAGTTGCGCAGGATGGAGCGACTGACAATGACAGCTGTCGAGTCATTTGGATGGGACGAAAGGTCGCGTGTACACATTAACATGCACGTAAAAGATCCCTAACTGCAGCACTGACAAGAGCAAACAACGCCGCAAAGTCCCAAGTTACTTTATCCTGCCAACACTGGGATCAAACTTTAGTGAGCCAGGGTTTTAAGAATACAAACTTGGATATGAAGAAATCACAATACGATCAAAATAAAATTTAACACCACTACTTGTGGCTCCAATTTAATCACCTGTTTGAAGGGAAGTTTTCCTGTTAATCTCTGACCAAACATCACCATCCGTGCCACCCAGAAAAACAAGATGTCATTTCCTGTCTCCAGTAAACTTATTGGATAAAAATCATACAGATCATCTGCCTGTAAAATAATACTGTCTTATAACAAGTCTGTTTGATACTAACATATGTTTATTATATACTCAAATTAATAGACCTAGCTATGACTAAGATGGATTGATTAATCTTGAAGTGAATATGCCTACAATCTGATTAAAACACAGATCCTATTTCGTTTTACTTGTCTTTACTACACTAGGATCTGGAAGACTTGTTATATTACCGGCGTTCTGGTTGATCTGAGGGATTAGCCAGTGAAATTGTCTGTTGTGGCGAGTTCTTGGTGTGAGGCGTGTAGGGGTCTTTAGCAGTGGGAGGAAACCAGAGGACCTGGATAAAACCCACGAGGTTGCCATGTACAACTTGGGAATCGAAACCAGGCCAGTTGAATATCAATAACAGACCTTATAATACAACGCACACACGTGCTAACTATTCGACCATCCAACCCCTTGGTATGCATAACATTTCAAATGTTAGATCCACAGATGCTGAATACTGAACAGAAGTGAACCATTTAGAGATTCATCTATCACAATGATGATCATTGACTTTACATTTTACCTGATTTGGCCAACCATGAACAGCAAACGGAAACAAAGCAGAGGAAAACCATGTGTCTAAAACATCTTCATCTACCAAAATATAAAAAAATATTTAGTTACACATGGTTATATCTTAGAATAAAAGATAAAATCATCCAAGCAACCCCATGCAGTAGACCATGAATTGAAATGAAGCTTCAAAACCCTGGATCTGCCCCTGCAAAGGTTATTTTTACTGACTTTGATACTCATCTATTCCCCAACATTTTTTTTGTTTTAATTACTGACTAACGTTCTGGAAAATAACGCAGATTCAGACTGCTGTAAATACAGTGGACTCTGTCACATCCGGCTTTAGATTACTACATTATTAAGTATTCTGTGATACTATCTAATCCGGTATATTTGAACGATCCCATATGATGTCGGATGTGACAGAGTCCACTGTACTGAAATTTGAGTATTTAACTTGTCTGCAAAAGACCGATTTACAGAACCTGGGAAAATGTTGTTGGCTCCATAAAATAGGGTTCAATGAGTGCACAACACAGGTATCTGTCTTCACCCTAATTAATCTAAGTTTATTTATACAATTACAGTCTAGGCTCACCTTGTTCTAAAGTCACCTCATTCGTAGGTATACCAAATTTTCTCCCAGCCTTTTCTCTTGCTTCTGATTCGGATCTTCCACTTACCCACACTTCCTCTTCCTAGAAAAACATGAAATGAAATGGTGTTTCAGGTCCTATTGTTCTGCTCCGATGGGGCTAATGGAGACAGGTAGACGCCATACAGTGTGCTATGAGAGAAATTTGGCCCGAATAGCGGCACTACGGCCTAGTCTTATATGGAATTCCAATTGTCATGGGTTTTTTTACATTGACCCCAATATGTACTAGGGACCTCGGTTTTTCATTCCATCCTAACAACTATACATTGTCACTTGCCAGACCCTCCCCGTCCTGCACCACTGATAAGTGGGAAACCACAGGTGAAAAACCCAGAGTATTTTCTCACTCAAATCGAAAACGGGACCTCCAGTCTAGCTTACTCTATTTACCTGTAAAGGGGAGATTACTCTATTTACCTGTAAAGGGGAGATTACTCTATATGCTGGTATACGATGTCCCCACCAGAGTTGTCGTGAAATACACCAATCACATGCCTCATGTAACCAATCAAACCAAACCTTCTCATAGTTGCTCGGTGTAATCCTTAATTCCCCAGTCTTCACTGCCTGGAAAAAAAAAATGCACTGGATTATTTAAAACTACACATACATATTTTTTCTACATAAGCTGGGGGGTTGGATGGTCGAATGGTTAGCATGTGCATGCTGTATCATAAGGTCTATCATTGAGTCAACTGGCGTGGTTTCGATTAGCCGGTTGTATGCGACAAGGAGTAGGGTCGCCTGTCCAACCTCGTGGGTTTTCTCCGGGTCCTCTGGTTTCCTCCCACTGCTAAAGACCCCGACACGCAAGCGAATTATTGAAATAAAATTGAACCATTTTAAAAACTACAGTACACATAAAAAGCCACGTAGAAATTTCAAAGCAAAAAGAATCTGTAAGACCCCTGCAGATTTTAAGGAGCTAATAAGCTGTTCTTTGTTTAGATAATGCCTTGATTTAATTTTGTGAAATGCCCATTCCAAAGACAGTTTTCAGTAAAATATCTTGAAAATTATAGATGACAGAAAACTTGTCCTGTGAGTCGGAAATCGCAAATATAGGCTAAAAATATCCTTTTAATGATAAAAAACAAACGATATTGACAAATAAAGCAAGGGAATTTGTTTTATATTTTTAGCCTATTTCGCAATTTTCGTTCATATATTATTATTGAGATCAATGACTTGAGACTTCCGACTGGTCTTGCTTTCATGGGTCACACAATGTTTGTAGTTAATAAAAAAACAGATTAAAACTAACTTGTGTAGCTTGCTCGGCCATTTGTTTACAATTAACAAACCACTGTTTCTTTAACATAGGTTCAACAACATCACCTGAACGACTGAAAATAACAAAAAAAATAATACTTGACATTATACTGGTATGAAATGAAATTTAATTTCTCACCCAAACAATACTTGACCTATATTGGAATGTCTCACAGGAACAATACTTGACCTATAATGGAATGTCTCACCAGAACAGTACTTGACCTATATTGGAATGTTTCACTGGAACAATATATAACATATTTTGGAATTTCTCACCAGAACAATACTTGAGATATATTGGAATGTCTCACAGGAACAATACTTGATATTTAATTGATTGTCTCACACAAACCATACCCGACATATATTTGAGTTTAATATCTCAGCAACACAATACTTGACAATAACGCCTCATTAGATTCAAAACAGAAAGTGTTTATCACATAACAACACAGGGGAGGTTGGATGGCCGATTGGTCAGAGCATGTGCGTTGCATCATAAGGTCTGTCATTGAGACAAATGGCGTGGTTTCGAATCCCTGGTTGTACGTGACAAGAAGTAGGGACGCCTGTCTAACCTCGTGGGTTTTCTCGTGGTTTACTTCCACTGCTAAAGACTCCTATGCGCAAGACAATTATTGAAATAAAATTGAATCATATATTAGTCCCGAAATTACCTAGTTTGTGTCGAGTGGATGTTAAACCCCATTTCTCTCTCTTTCTCTCTCTCACCTAACAATACACCATATCAAACCAATTCAACGTATTAATATTTGTACAGACCTTACCCCATCACTGACACAACTTTCATTCTAATGATCTCAGCGCCTGACTCATGCAATATAACATCCAATCTAGATTTAAACCAGGACTATCTGCTAATTAATCTACACCTGCTACTCACCTACACAGAGGTATATTCATATTGTGTAGTTCTTCCTTTACAAACAGACCCTTCTCTTTTAACGCTTTAACAACCATCCATCGTACATCAAAACGTTTCTGTCCGTTAAATTCCAGCGTTGTATTAATCATTTTACCATCAGCATCAATGACAGTCAAGGTCGGAAGGTCGTGTCTCACGCCCACTTCGTAATCAGTATAATCGTGGCCTGGAGTTATCTTTACAGCACCTAAAATGATCCCTTAATTAAATTTACTTTGATTTCTTGGGGAATTTTTGAATGGAAGGAAATGACCTGTGATCTCTCTGATATCAGTTAAAACTCCAGAGAGGGGTAGACATTGTCTAAAAGTTCTTTCACCTGAAACTGTGGCTCAGTGAGTAAGGCACAGCTGACTGAAATGAAATAAAGTTTAACATCCTACTGTTTTCCTCTGTCAGGCCCTCCTTTCTGCACCACCGACAAGGAGAAACCACTCTGGAAAATCCTAATGAACCTTATCCGCCAACACCAGGATCAAACCAGCAACCTCCAGGTTAGCAAGTCAGCGTCTAAATCAGCCATTGTGGCTCCCGCTCGCTCACTAACCAGGAGGCCTTGGGATAAATTCTGGTGTACCTCAGGGTTTTCCCAATTGTAAATGGCGCAGGATGGCAGGCTTGGCAAGGAAAAGGCACCTTGTCATACGAATGGGATGAAAATGCCAGATGTGCCTGTTTAAAAATCAGTTTAATATTATCCAGCCACACAACAAAACCTCTAACAGTATGAATAGGATAAAGATTAATGGATACACTTCTGTTTTTGCAAATTTCCATCACAGAACACTGTATGTCATTTGCCCGTCTTCAAAAGCCCAGTCGGTACAGAAAAGTAGGACGTTAAATCCCTTACGCAATGCCCATAAACTCATTTCCATTGCTTTGGAAATAAGAAGCACAATGTTTCAGCATCCAATCAAAAAATATTTATCATCTGTGTAGGGCTGTGTATTGCGGTCAAAAATTGTATTCTATAACTACATGCAAATACAAGCAAATATCATTGAATACAGCCATTGAATACAGTCAATGAATTTTGCATGTAGTTATAGAATAAAAACAGAACTCAATGACCATTAAACACCGCTCGGGTTATTCAATGGTTCATGAGAGTTCTGTCTACGACGTATGTAGACTCTACGTAATGCAATATATTGCGAATTGGGTGATTTGAATAAAGCTGTATGGATATATTTAGTTGACAGCACTAGTTATCTGTTATCATGTTCCATACCACACTTACCGGTTCCAAAATTAATGTCCACGAAATCATCAACTATAATCGGTAATTTCCGTCCATCTATTGGATGTATAACATGGTTACCATGGAGATGTATATATCTTTTATCATCAGGATGTATCGCTATGGCAACATCACCTAACATGGTCTCTGGTCTTGTAGTTGCTACTGTTAAATTTTCATCTAAATTTTAAAACAAAAATATGAAATATATGGTCGATAAAAAAAAATAATGTCATAAAAAATATGGGTGACGTTTATTTATGAAATGGGGTTTAGCATCCTACGCCTTGCAGTGGAACATAAACCATATTATTATTGAGACCGGACCACTGCATTCATGTCTACTCTTTGACGAATTCCAACTGCCAAAGACTATTTTAAGAACAATCTTTTTTTGTGTACACACTGCCCCTTGCCAGACCATACATTGAAATGGGTTTGGGGTTTTTTCAAAAAAAGAAATTGCAAATTATATCCCAATTTTCTTTTGTCTAGAACACGTACACAAGACTTTAAATCTTACCTGAGTTTTCTACAGGATAAGAGAAAGAAGTTAAAACTCCGAAGGGAACCTGTTTATCATAACCAGGTATTCTTAATTTGGTTTTACCTTCAACAGGTAACGATTCCACCTGTAAATATAGACAGAGAGATGGGGTTTAACTTCTACTCGACACAAACTAAATCATTTCGGTACTAACATATGGTTCAATTTTAAATCAGTAATTCTTTTGCTGTGGGAGGAAACCTGAGGGCCTAGAGAAAACCCTAGAGGTTGGACAGGAGACCCTACTCCTTGTCACATACAGCCAGGGAATTGAAACCACACCAGTTGACTCAATGACAGACCTTATGATACAGCGTGCACGTGCTAACCATTTGGCTATATAACCCCCCTATAATATATATGTAGTGCAACCCTAGCAACATTCTCACCTCGATATCTGAAATAGCTGACTGTAAGGAACACGACCAATTAATAAGCCTGTTACTTCTATAAATTAAACCATCGTCATGGAGTCTGATGAATGCTTCTACCACTGCCTTGGTTAGTTTCTACAAGAAAAAACACATCATCATCATCAGAGAGAGAGAGAGAGAGAGAGAGAGAGAGAGAGACTCTGGAAAAATCTACATCAAAGGTATCAACTGGTTCCTTCAAATGTAGCTTACATGTATTTCTGTTTAAAAAACATTACCGGGCATATATCCGAAATCTATAATTGTAAAGTGCGCCCCCCCCCCCCCCTAGTTACGGGCCTGATCTCTCGGTTCAGCTTTGGCAGATAACGCTCATCACTGACCTAAAGCATACACCGAATAATCACCTACTTCAAGTTTGAACATTCTACCTCAATTAGAAGCAATGATTCGGTATTGTGAAAACCAACAGGTATAAAATAAAACCCACCTGATCCATTGTAAAACATTCTCGACTCCAGTCTAACGATGAACCTAACTTCTTCATCTGATCCACTATAACACCACCTTTACTAGTAAACAAAATCATATTACAACTTATTCACAGTAGGATGAGCATATGGGCGAGTGTCCATGGGCGAGTGTCCAGGGGGGGGGGGGGGGTCACTTACTCACAGTAGGCTGAGCATATGGATGAGTGTGTAGGGGGTCGGGAGGGGGGGTCCAAACTCACAGTAGGCTGAGTATATGGACGAGTGTGTAGGGGGTCGGAGGGGGGGGGGGGACAAACTCACAGTAGGCTGAGTATATGGATGAGTTTCCAGGGGCGGGGGTAACTACCGGTCCAGAGGGGGCACCAGTCCAGGGGTCCGGTCTCTTTCCTGTTTACACAGAGCATTTTTTTTTCTCCTATATTCACCGAAATAACCTATGAAACATTGACACCATTTTGAACTCACTCCCCTCTAATCCTATACATGTATGTACCTTAATGAGCAGAAATATTGAGTCAAAGCTACTGATTTCAAAAATTTGCCCCCATACATCGCGCCAAACTTGACATTGTCTCTCAAATTGGATCTGCCTGTGGCTCAAATTCCTGGACACACCACTGCCATTATTTATTAAACAAATAATTGATATCAATATTAAATTTGATAACATATACCAGAATAGACTGACTAGCATGAAACACGCAGCAGAATTAAAATGTCAAATCAATTGTAAATCGAGGGGGGGGGGCAGGGATGGCTGAATGGTTAACACGTGCACGATGTATCATAAGGTCTGTCATTGAATCAAGTGATGTGGTTTCGATTCCCCGGTTGTACATGACAAGGAGTAGGGTCGCCAAGTGGGCGTTAAACCCCATTTCTCTTTTTCTTCAGGATGTTGATTAATAAAGTGCCACTTGAATCATGTGAAAGGTGTTTTGTTTAAAATTAAAAAAAACTTAAAAATTGGAAACTAAAAGCTTTTGAACAAACGAATCAAGTATTTTTGGTTTTTAAATAATTCTTTTTCACGAAGAAATAAGAAGGACAATTTTTACAAGCGTTCCCGAAGAACAAAGAATCAAATTGGTTTGGCATAATCCCTTTAAATTATACATTCGACGTGGTTGCCCCTCGTCGGTTGTGCAGGATGGATGGACTGCCAAGGACAGCTGTCTAGTCATTCGCAAGAAACGAAAAACCGAGGTCTTGTGTATACATTGGTGTGCATGTAAAAGAGCCCTTGGCAGTTGGAATTCAATATAAGAGTAGGCCACAGTGCCACGATTTCCCTCATAGCACACTGTATGATGTATGCCCGTCTTCATTAGCCCAGTCGAAGCAGAACAGTAGGACGTTAAACCCCATTTCTTTTCATTTTAAATTATACAAATACTGTTTAAGCT